GCTGGAACTCCCCGCGGGTCTGCGTGGCTAGCCTGGCCCCGCCCCCACCGCCCGCGACGATTGGCTTTCTTATAAGAAAAACTACCCAATCAAAGAAGTCGCTGGCAGTCCGCCCCTCCACTATCAACCAATGGGCTCAAAGTTTTGGCCCGCCTCCAGCCCAGGACGACTGCTTTGCGGTGTTTTCTTGGTGGCGGGGTAGGTGGGCTTCTCGGTGCCTTGCCGGCTCCGACCTGTGTGCTTCCTAGAAAGCCATGAGCGTTTAGGCAGTGGGAGCCCCTGAGTTCTTAGGGGCGAGAGAGGGAGCTAACAACAAGCAAAACTGTTGCCGGAACTGCCCAAGAGGGTGGCCATTACTCCCCTGGCATATCACTGATCATGTGGTTTAGACCCCCTGACCTTGCCTAGCTCTGGGCTGGTCATGTGGCTTAAACACATCATCTTTCCTCCCTAGAGATAACATCTCTGTTTCCGTTGTATTGCAACTCCAGGCCCAGAAAAGCAACAAACCAGGCGGCCATGCCAGGGCTAATGACCCCTGGGCTGACCCATCAGTGGGAGACCAAGGCCCAGAAAGGGCACACTTGGAAACGCAGATGAATATTCTATTGAGATCCTCCTGGAACACCTCCCCTGATCTCTCAGCCTTTAAAACCCTCCAGGCAAGGACCTAGAGCAAACTCCCTCCTGGGAGCCCACCCATTCCTTTCCCTTTCCTCCCGGCATTCAACTCCTAAACTGGAAGGGACCCCATGCAACTTGCAACCAGGGGAGTAATGGGCAGCAGCAGCAGCTCCTCCCGGGCTAAACCCTTGAACCTGTTCCCAAGGCCCCCTTCTCTCTGACTCTCCAGGGAGCCAAAGCAGCCTTGGCTCACTCCTTTCCCGTCACATTTCTGACAGCCAGAGCAGCCCTGCCTAGTCTCTCTCCTGTAGCTCCGTCTATCCCAAGCCTTACCTTGTGTCACTGTCCCCAGCTTTAATAAATGTACTCAGAATCGCCTGGTTTTGTGTTATGAAATCTTTCCTGCATGAAGTTAAGAACCCACACAGTATAGGCAGACCTGCTCCAGGCCTGGTCCGTTGCCAGTAACAGAACCTTGTTATGACATAATTACAATACCCAGCTCATGTGAACTTGGAAAAAAACAAACAAAAAAAAACCCCTCTTTCCTTTTGTACAACTCATCCAAGTGCCCGTCTGGTTGATGGCTGGGATGCTGCTCCATTCATGAATCACTTAATAAAGCCAATTAGATCTTCAATTTACTTGGCTTAATTACATTCTTTAACAGGGGTTGGAGTATTCCTTTTCTAGACCTGGACAATAAAAAACAGCTACTATCTGATTCTCTATGAAGTGGGCCCAAGCACCCAGAGGACAGTAGGGCTACAAGATGAAGGAGTCGGTGTGGAGCAGTGCCCTCTCCATCAATCTGCATTGGACTGTAACTGTGAAAATAATACAAGCAGAATTACTTTTTGACGTTGGAGCTACCATCCCAGAGTAACTGCCTTGAAGGTCTTACTACTCAAACCTTTGGTATATTAAAAGTAGGCAAAATAACCTTCGGACTGGGCGTAAAGCCGCGTTGCATTCAAACAAGTGTTTGTAAAGTTAATTAAAAAAAGCAGACATTATGACTGCTTGAGTGAAAATTAAAGATCTTCTTAGAATTAGCATCACTATGTTAGCTTATTGGCACCTATAGAAATTCCTTCCTTTGGTTCATGTAGTTATCCCCCTCTCCTTTCTCATAAATACCCCTTGCTTTCACCTCCTAATTGGATCCTATATGAGTTTCTGCCTAAATCCGTGTACAACAGCTCTGTGGATGAAAAAAAAAAAAGGGTTCTATGGAATGTAACATAGGTGCTATGGAATGTAACTGGGTGTTATGAGCATAAATTCCTAACTGTGCAGGTCCTGGTGCATAGTCACGTCCCAGGCATAACTTCTTTAGTAAGAGGCTTATCTTTGCCTTAAGCAAGCCCTGTCCATTGTCTCTGTGTATGTAAGCAGGTTAACATGCCTTTAAAATGCCCCTTTTCAGAGGCTCTTACTATGTGGCCATCTTTGACATCAGGACCCTCCTTCTAAAGGGGACCACCTCAAGCAAACACATAATCTCATTAACTATCCTGTAACCTCACCCCATCTTGCTTTTTCCCACCCTCCTGTAATCTTCCTTATGTTCCATCCTTAATATCAAATGCATATAAGAAACTGCAAGCTGCCATTTTGGGAGGCATTTGAGATCTTGCTTCCTGGCCTATGCTGTCCGTTTTGCTCAAATAGGTCCTTATAAAAATTCTCTACGTGTTTGGACATTTTTAGGTCGACAGCTTCTTGCATAGCTATCTTTCGGATGTCAAATAATTGCTTGTTGCCTAACCTTTATTTTTTAGGTTAAAACATGAACAAGAAATAAACGTTCACTGTGCTAAGTTGCTGAGATTTAAGGATTTGTCTATTACAATAGCTGTTGTCATTTCCTTTAGTTAATATAGTGACTTTGGTAAGAGCAGTTTTTGGGGGAGTGGATCTAAGTCAAAATCTGTCTTAGTCCAAAGGTGTATGCTGAGTATGTGTGACGCTTCTGTGTTCAGCTGCAAAGAAAAGGAACTCGCATGGCAGTGACTTAGAGATTTGCTGTTCTGAAAAAGGGAGCTGAGACTGGACAGCAGGGTCTGGGGTTCAGTTGTGCCATCAGGGACCCGGGCTTTTGTCATTTCTTCTCTGCCACCTTTTGCATGGAGGCCGTTGTCCTCACCGCTGTCACCTTGGCGTGGCTGCTACACCTCCAGACAGGACTAAGGGGGAAGGACAAAAAGCTAGGCCAGCTGAGTCTATGCGTCATCACAAAAGCTTATTGGAAACCCCACCCCATGACTTGTGTTTTATCCTATTGGCCAAAATGGTCACATGGCCACTTCTGAGTCCTCACTGAGTGGGTAGTGGGAGGCTGGGATGGAGGCTGGCTCAGCCAGCTGAATGTATGGGTCCCAGCTCCGCAGCCTCACAGTTCATTTAGGCCCCTGGTTGGCAAACTGCGGCTCTGTGGCCCCTTGAGTGTGGCTCTTCCACAAAATACCACGTGCGGGGCGCGCAAGTACAGTGCGATTGAAACTTCGTGGCCCATGCGCAGAAGTCGGTTTTCGGCCCGGGCGAGTCTATTTTGAAGAAGTACTGTTGATATTTGGCTCTGTTGACGAATGAGTTTGCCGACCACTGATTTAGGCCAATAAATATTTACTGTGTATCTCCTGTTTTATAAGCCCTGGGTTGGGCACTGGAGTCACAGAGATGAGTCAGAAGCAGCCGACTCTAACCTGGGGGAGGTGTGTTCTTCTGTTCAGGCTCTGTTCACTATCTCCTCAGTATCCACGTGTTGGCTTTCTTTCTAAGCCAACACCCCTGACTAGGCGTCCAGGACCACTCCTTTGTTTGGGGGCGGGGAGTGTGTGGGTGCTATGGAGACGGGGTAGTGAGGAGTGTAAGGTGATGGCCCCAGGAAAGGCAGTCCTGTTGGACCATCAGAGGGTGGCTTGGGTTGCTCTAGGGAAGGCCTGGTGGGGGTCCTGGGGATGCCTGCATGTCTGACCTCTGAGTCCCTCAGCGATGTCCCGCTCACTGATGGGGGCTGCCCAGTTTGTGGTCACCAACACGGCTCCTACAAAGATGGCTCCTGGACCCCGGTGGCAGATAAGACTTGCCATGAGGGACACTAGTGAGGGCTGGTGGTCTCTGGATGTTGCTCTACTCTGTCTGTGGGTGGGCCCTGGCCCCCCCTTGACTTCTCTCTCCACACACAGCCCCCTCCATTTATTTCCCTCCGGAGCCCAGGAACCTGCTCCAGCCTTGGGGCAGGAAGCTTTGCTCTGACTCATGAAGTGTTTTTGTTTCCTCTAATCCTCATTCCCCTCAGGTCCTGAGCTTTTGGAACCCAACAGTGTTTTCTGTCATTTGCTGAAAATGCTACTCTCCTGAGGCAGTGGATACACCCGGTCAAGCTGCCACCACCATGGGGAGAAGGGCTGGGTAACAAAATAGCTTGGGGATGAGGAGAGGTGGTAAAAGCAGCAGTTCATGTTTCAAAACTATTGTCCAATCTCACAGATGCACAAGCCAACGGGGCAGAGGAGACGATGAGGATGAGGGCCTGTCAGGCTAAGACATGGTGATGCTGGTGGGCATGAGTCCTGGGGGCCAGGCTGTGAGGGGCGTGTGTGCATGTGTGAGGATGCCTCTGAATGCAAGCGTCAACAACCCACCTTAAGGTTATTTAAATACTGGGCATTTGCTACTTTTTCTTACAAGAAGTCCAGCGGTCAGCAGTACCCAGGCGGGCCCAGTGGCCCACTGATTTCACCACGGACCCAAGCTCCATTCTCTTGTCTGCCACGCTGGGTTTGCTCTGTGGGCAACTTCTGGTCCCAAGAGGGTGGCAGCAGCTCAGGCATTCGTGTCCTCACATGCAAAGCCCCAAGGCAGACCAGGGCCCTGTCTCCTGGTCTGTCTCTGTCTTTGGGTTGTGGTGGAGGTAGTGGTGGTGAATATTTTTCCAGAAGCCCCAGCTGCTGGGAAAGTGTGGTCTGGCACTTCCGGGCTCCGTGCAGGCAGGGAAGGCTGCCTTCAGCAAGGAGGGAGAAGGGAATGAATGGCTTTGGTGCCAGACACGGCGCTTGCTCCTGGGTGTGTGTGAATGTGTTCGCCTACGCGGTGTCTGTGTCTGATACGCAGGTGTGGCTGCTGATGTGTGCAGGACCCGGGCCACGAGGAGTGTGGTTACCAGGCTGGGGTTTGGTTCAAG